GCCAAGCATGCGACACCACTAAACACACTATAGTCGCTACCTTGCTTGCTGGCAGGGGAAACACTCACAGGCTTTACAGGCAGAGCTCCACGGAAACCAGATGTTTAGGTGGGTCAATGTCCCTCCCCTCACATTTTCATTCCGTTTTTGTTCATTGACGGAAATTAAACTGATTTTTGTCATTGTTTTCGTCAGTTGACCAAAATGTGGGGTAATTTTCATCTAGTTTTTGTCACTGGAAATACGCAGCTGCTGAAAATTGTGATGAAAATGTTTTCAATGATAAAATTAAACACTGATAAAGAGAAAATTGTGGTGGGGGGAATTGGAAGAGCAAAGCAGGGAGGGAAAAAACAAAGAAATAAAAGAAGCCAGAAGAGCAAGGGAATTTATGGACAGACCTGCACACCCGCACAAGACAGAAGGTCCTGGTCAAATCCCAGAAGAAGCGAGATGTCCAGGGTTGCCAGGTGGGGAGAATGTTCTCCATTTTATCAGTAAGTTGAGCTTAAAGTTTTTAATGCAATGGACTGAATGCATTTTGGGTATGGTTTCATTCAAAGAGCGAGTGGGCATCTACCAGAGAATCTGAGTTTTAATCTCTCCTCTTCAGCCAAAAAAAAAAAAAAAAAAAAAAAAAAAAAAAAAAAAAAAAAAAAGAAGGGCTATTCATACAATTTCACACATACCAATCTGCTCTTGTGTCTCAGGGTCCACAACATCCACTACGCACTTTTTTTTTTTAAAGAGAAAATTCTTATTAGCCCGTGCGAGCATGCTTCCAGCTTACCTCCCACTTGTCACGTGATGTCAACAGAAGACAATTTAACCGTGATTTTAAGTACACCTGTATAAGGAACAAAAAGAAAATCAATACTAGTCAGGTAAGTATAAAACAACCTCTGTACTATCACACTTTTCACTATATTTATAGATTACCTTAGGAATAAAGAGCTTCACTGGAGTTTGTTAATTATGCAATAAATGTGTGTTATGTAAGGAGTTTAAATAGTGGAGCACACACACTCTACTTTGTTCCACATAGTAAGGATAGATCTGTCAACAAGAAACAGTCTTGCACTTTAAGGCTACATTCATATGCGGTTTTGATTGGGTATTTCGAAAGTGAAGCTTTACTATATATTCAAAAAGGAAAATCACTGCAAGTGCACAGCCAATTTGCCTTTAGTAAATCAACCCCAAAGAATTTTAGATGTGTTTCAGGTTGCATTTCATATACATTACCATCTATTCCTATGGAAAGGGATTCCTCACCAATAAATGTAGGAAGGAGAGTATTTTTGAATGCATCGCACCAAAATAAAGGTGTGTGAATATGGAATTATATTTAGTGTAACATTTGTCTAAAACATACTGCGCTGCAACTACACAACAAGAAACACAGATATTAATGTAGCTTTACTGTATGGTGATGCAACCAACAGGCAAAAAAGCTCCACCAAGTGGCTGGAATGATTAAAGAACCTGTTTTATCAAAGAATATAAAATACAATACACAGTATGTCACAACCAAAAATACTCAAAACATTTACATTTAACAAGTTAAACTAAAGATTTTCCTTTAGGAGACATTTAGCCTAAGTTCACACATATGCAATTCCGTGTGCTCTAAAACGCATTCGAAATCGCATGACATGTCAAATAACATTGTTCTACTGTGGCTGTTCACGCAATCGCCCGCAGTGCAACTTTGAAAAGGGTCTTGTGCATTTTTAGAGCAGTGCAGCCCAAATGCTGTGCGAGTTCCAGGATCATTGTCTTCAATGGGAACGCTTCCAAATTGCACATCTCAGCTTCGAACACGATTTAAGCAATTTGTTCTCCTCCTCCTCTGCATCTGAATCGTATCAGCACTGCTGAAAAATCCCTTTGAAAGTCACACACCGCATATAATTGAACCCACACTCAAGGCTGAAAATCGACTGAACCGAGGCCCATTAGTTTACTCTTGGACAAGACGTAAAAAAGGAAAAACCAATGCATTTTTGCTACAACAATTGTGTGCAGCAAAAAAATAGCAACTATTTGCCATTTAAAGTGGGAGTAAACTCCCTTGGTTGATTTTTACCTATAGGCAAGCCTATAATAAGCTATGCGATCTAGGCAAAAAGCAGCAGTGCCAACCTAAACAAAATTGTGAACTAAAATAATATAATTCAATAAAAATAGGCAGCTGTCCCTATAAGTAAAGCAACACTTAACATATATGTACAATTAATAGAACTAGGTGATCATCAAAATCGTGAAATTGTGATACTCATACAAAATAAACTATGAATCAACATAACATATATAATAAATGTGTCACAAAAAACATGAAATCCAAAATCTCAAAAATTGTTCAAATGCAACAGTCCAACTGGTGACAAATTCTTGCAACTCCAGATTGTGTTCCACCAACATGTATGGCTGAAATGGGAACTCACTAGATCAACTCAGATAACAAAGTAGCCAACAAGCTTGTAGACACAGATCCTGTATGCCTTAGGTGTGATGTACAATCCTGCAGAATCCTTCAACCTCCTCCAATCAAATGACATTAAACCACCTTCTCCATTCTCAGTATCTCAGAAGATAATCATAGTGCAGCAAATTCCTTGTTCAAAAACGTGCAAATAAAATATATTCCACTCACATATTGCAGGTGCCACAAGCAGCACCAACCCAAAACAGCTCACTGGGGGGAATCACTCCCTCCACATCGCCGCTTGTCCTGCGTTCTAATGCCCAGAAGGGATGACTGCCTGGCTCGCGTCGTATGCCTCATTTCTAGTTCCTGTGATGTCACTTCTCGGCACTGAAACGAACGCCAACCACAGGAAGAGTGGCATTGTGGAGGGAGAGATCCCCCCGTGAGCACTTTTTTATGACACGTTATTATATGTCATGTTAATTCATAGTTATTTTGTATGATGATCACGATTGCACTATTTTGATGAGCACCTACTTCTATTAATTGCACAAGCCTATAATAAGGCTTACCTAAAAGTACAGCAAATATCTCCTAAACATGCATGGTTTAGATATTTATTTTAGAAGTAGTAAGGGACATCACCGACGTATGCGCTATGAAGAAGAACGGCATACCTGTGCTGTTTGTTCAGAACCATGTGCCACAAACAAAATCTCCCGAGCACGTGTCATCGCAGCTTGGCCATTCATACTGCCGAAGTCCGCAAACCCAGAAGGAAGATCGGGTGAAGATGGAAGCAGCTACAGTGGTGACAGCGTGCGCCTGGAGGACAAGTCTGTAATAATGTGCTAGTATGTGGTGCATACTAGGATTAAACTGCCCAGGACCAAATTTTTTTTTTTTTCTTGTTGCTACCGTTTACTACCGTTTTAAGATGAGCATTTAGTAAAATAAATGAGTTATAGCTTTGTAAATTATCCTAAAGTAAACGTTCAGATAAACTCTTGGGATATTATGTTACTCTTAATGCTGTACTATAAGCCATCTTAGGTACGGTATATTGGTTCATTAGAGAAAATTAGGGACGCACGCCGAAATGCCGGTGGCCGAAACGTTTTGGCCGAATACAACCCTTTCGGCTGTTGGCCGAAATGAAAAAAAGCACCGATACAGGTGCCGAAAAAAACCCTGCCCCTTGCCACCGCCCCATCGCCCCCGGTAGTTCAGCCTTACCTGAGAAACCATCGATCCCGGCGCTGGGCATAGAGATGAGTGAAGGAAAGATGGCCGCCACACATCTCTATGCCCTTGGAGGACCGGAGCGATGTCCCTTCCAGTTCCGGACATTTTTTTTTTTTATTATTAAGCCCTAGATCAATGTTTTTTTTATCTAATGCTTTACATTGCAGAGGAGAGATGTGGGGTCTCATTGACCCCATATATCTCCATAAAAAGGACCTGTCACTAATTATTTCTTTCACAAGGGATGAATGCATTTCTTGTGATAAGAATACAAGTGATTATAATTTTTTTTTTTTTTTTTTTTAAAAGGAACAGTGCAAAAAAAAAAAAAAAAAAAACCCCCACCACCATTAAATACATTTTTTAAGTTTAGTTTAAAGTGCCCCGTCCCCCCATGCTCGCACATAGTGGTGAACATATACGTAGGCCATACCCACATATGTAAATGGTGTACAAACCACACAGGTGAGGTATCGCCACGAACGTTGGAGCAAGAGCAATAATTCTCGCACTAGACCTCCTCTAACTTTACACTGATAACCTGTAGAAATTTTTAAATTTACTCCCATGGAGATTTTTTAAGTACCGCAGTCTCATGCCATTCCACGAGCGTGCACATCCCGAAATCGTGACATGTTGGGTATCTATTTACTCGCTGTAACATCCTCTTACATATTTTACAAAACAATTGGGGTATATATTGTTTTTTTTTTTATCAAAGTGTATTTTTTTTTCCAAAAAATATATATTCATTTTTAAAAACTGCGCATTTCGGTTTTCGGCCAAGTTCATTTTGAATTTTCGGTTTCGTTACCAGAATTTTCATTTCGGTGCACCACTAGCGTGAACCCTTTGGGCTTTAGGGGCTATAGCCCCAGACAAACCTTTCACACTGTCAGTTTTGCTGTCAAGTGCTCTACTTACCGAAAAACACATGACAGCAGTCAGGTATTATGCTACAGTGTTGTGGAATTGTTTCACAAGAAATGTAATTGCAATACAATTTATCTAACCAGTGATGGAGGAAATATGATACCACTGGTCATCTCTCCTTCTGAAAAGCTAGCTGTAAGGGTGATCCATTTGCTAAAATTGAGTTTCTACTACAGAACAGGTATGTAGCAAATTAAGTCAGCCCTCCTAATCAGCATAGTAGTCCTGGTTCAGTTACAAAGTACTGAAGCCAGTGGATCAGCGTAGGAGCCTGGCAACCAGAATTTAGCAAATAAAAAATGGTCAGCAGCTGCAGTATACATATTTCTCTTAGCACAGGTTTCTGGTAACGCACACATTTTATAATACAAATATGAGCTGCCATTGCTAACTAATGTTCGGTCATAAACCCTATGATATTTACCTTGTGTAGAAGCTGCTTGTCATTGATACTATGGAGCCGCATAAACCTGTCTAGGCCACAGGAAGCAACAACAGGCATAGACTTGTGACACTGAATGGAGCGCACAGAACCAGCGCCACCCTTCAGGGAACATAAGAGGCGACCTAAGAATAGAAAAATACAAATCATTTAGCAAAAGGGACAATGAACATGGGCAACTAACTAGCCGACAATGCTGTGGTTAATGAACACAGAAATCCAGAGGCAGAAAGGATGGAGAGGCATTTCTGTTGTATATAGGGACAACTCTGAATATCTGTTCACTGCGCTTGCTCAATAGTCACCACTGCAGACAGGAGACTCAAGAGCTGAAATTATGCATATCTAGGAGGAATACTATGGATAATGACTTTATTATACAAAACATATGTATTTTAAAGTGTCTGCAGGCCTCCCTTTAATGGCCATTAGTCATGAAATCTAACCTGACTGGACAGGTGAAGTTTCCAGTTTAGCTCTCAGGAAACAGCAGAATAAAGAAAAAAAAAATGTCAATATATTTGACAAATAACTTGATTTGGTTTTATATATTGAAGGAGCATCTGTATTATAAGAGTATGCTTGCTCTGTAATTAAAAAATCCTTACCTTTCCTCAAGTCAATTACACCCATGTTACCATGAGAATTTCCAACCACTACAGACCTGTATAAAGAAGCAAAGAGTTCCAAATTAAGCCATTTCAAACATGCAAATTAAAAGTTCAGGGAAGATGCTGACATGTTGCACTCTCTTATACTACATTATTAGGAAGACCACAGTAAGAGTGAGACTAACTAGAGTACACCGTGATAAGCCAGCCACGGTTGGGAATCTCTCACTCCTGTACTTTCGAAGATATACAAGAAGCCAATGAGAAAAGCAACCTGGCAGCAACTACCTAAAAGTATATTATGCTGAGTGAGGTTAATCATCCGCAAGAATTCGGTTTTAACCCGGTAAGGCTACTTTTTTACTGATCCATAGCAAATATTGAAGCAACATGCATATGCATTTTTTTACTGTGTTTGTGGTGCATTTTTTTTTTTTCTTTTTAACAGGACATGCGACTCAAAAACCACACCAAACTCACATTTTCAATTCCTTTTTTACAGAGTTTTCCATTGATTTCAATGGGGAGGTGTGTCTTTGGTGCGTTTTTTTCTCTTACTGCACCAAAATTGGAGCAAGCAGGATTTTAAAGCACCAGACCTGCAACGGATCAGTGTGAAGAGTTCCACATGAGTACATGGTCATGCGTTTTTCTTCCATTTTTTTTTTTTTTTTTTTTTTAGGTGGAAAAAAACAGATCAATGTGAAAAAACAGCCTAATTCACAAGATTAGTCAAGAACTTGTCTGTCAAAACCAAAGCATAATCACATTCAACAGACATATTATACATAGCAAAGTACATAGCAGAAGTGCCAAAACGGCAAGAAAATCAAATCTCATTTTTATAAGGATATGCTCAAACGGAGAACCAAAGAGAAGAGCAAATGCCCATCATTGATCATTTCTAGGAGGTTTTATAACACAGGATTAGTCCAATTTCAAAGGTCTCATTACTACTCAGACATGAAGACTACATCGAATTTGAATGAATGTTCTGGTGGGAGAAGTCAGTTTCTCCATTTTCTAAACTACAGTACAATAATTACATGATAAAAGTCTATTAGTTTTTCTTCTTTCAGGCCCATAAATAGAGTTTAGTGTTTTCAGGCCAACACAGTGCTTTGATGTCACAACAAAAGCATAAAAAAGGAAACATGTTACAGGAAAAGAAAAAGGAGCTTATTAAAAGGAGAGTACCTGCCATCTGGAGTAATGCTCAGTGCGGTCAGTGGATCCTCACCAAATAAAGCCTCCAGAACTGGGCGTCTTTGTGGAGTATTGGGGTCATACACTCTAACCTGGTGGAGAGATCTCATCAGTACAAGCACTGCTTAACCACTTGCCTACCGGGCACTTTTACCCCCTTCATTCCCAGGCCAAATTTTCAGCTTTCAATGCGATCACATTTTGAATTACAATTGTGCGGTCTTGCAACACAATATGAAATAGTTATAATTTTTTTTTCACACAAATAGAGCTTTCTTTTGGTTGTATGTAATCGTCACTGGGCATTTTATTTTTAGCACTATAAACAAAAAAAGAAAAAGTTTGAAAAGAGAAAAAAAAAAAGTTTTTTTATTTCTATTTAAAATTTAGCAAACATGTAATTTTTTTCCTTCACTGATGTGCGCTGATGAGGCAGCACCGGTGAGGTGGCACAGATATGCAGCACTGGATGGCATTGATGAGGAGGCACCGATGATGCTGCACTGACTGGCAGCACTGCAGGGCACTGGTCATCAGTGCCGATCTGCTCTGTGACAGCTGTCAGTTAATCGGCAGTACTTTCCCAATGCTGTGACAGCGTGAGGAAAGCGCTGCCGATAACCAGCAACTGTATTTACTTCGTGATCTGCTGTGTCATTGGACACAGCTGATCACGTGGTAAAAGGCCGCTATGATTGGCCTTTTACCTCATCACATGATTAGCCAAATCCGTAGGACACAGCAATCACGGAGATTGCCAGGGGCGCGCGTTCTGGAGAGAACATCATATGGCGCCCTCCTAGAACTTGACAACCGCGCTGCAGCCATCATTCGGCTATAGCGTGGTTAAAACTGAACTGTATGCTATATCAATTTTGTCCAAATACAAAAGGTTTTATTTAAGTCAGGGTTAGAGTCACGGTCAAATGTCAGGATCAAAAAGGTCAGTGACAAGGATTTTAAAAAAAGGTTTTGTTTTTTGGGTTATACAGGGTCAGATACAAACAGCATACACATATGTCCAGATTGTCACAAGCAGGAGAATTTATTTTGGGTTGTTCTTTGGAGGTAGGTTATGGTAGTAGCAAGAAAAATACAGCTACATTTTAAAAAAGTATTTTTTTTTTACATTTTGGGCCAGTTTTACTTTGATAATCATTTAAAAAAAAAAAAAAAAAAAATTTATGGATATTGAATACCATTTATCAAGAAATGAAAGCCCAATTTGTCGTAAAAAAAAAAACAAACAAAAAAAAAACACACACACACACGATACAATTCACCTAGATACGTAAATTAGTTTTGAGGATATGTATAGTTTTATTAGCACATATCGAAGTTGCAAAATTATGTTCAGGCATTAGGATTTGTTTTTTACCCTCATCATGAAGTTAGTGTAAGTGCAAACCTGTAGACTCATCCCTTCCCCCAAAGACAACGGACAAAAAAAAACTCCCAGTTATTGTTGACAAGTCCTAATAGGGTGCTTTAGGTCCCATTTTCAAATTTCAGGGTTGGCATAAGGGCTGAGCACCCCGCTAAATGAAATTTTACCTATATAGTTCAAACAGAAATGCACACATGCATGTGCAACCTGGAAGTGCGTTACTCATTTTAGGACCCAGTCTAGTATTGCTTTGCTGCCACGGAAAGCCACAGAGGAACATTTTCTGACATGGGTCATTTATAAAGCCTGCATGCCTAATTTAATAAGGATTTATCTGCTTGGGCAGCCCCCATACAGTGTGAAGAGCCATATGTATGTTTTTTGGACTAGTGTGCAGCTGCATGCAAGCGTTTTTGGAAGACCTAGCTAAATAGCTCTTCTAAAAAGGACTATGTAGTCATCACAAACTACAGTGAAAGATTTTAAGTATGGTCACCAACTAAAATTGGAGAGGTTTAATGCTCACTTGATGGTAGCTTGTACAGGTGACAATTTTGTCTGTCTCTGGGATGAAATCCAAATCACGAATCCACACAGGTACACGGAGATCTAGCCAATCGTTCCTCACCTAAAATAAAACAAAATAAGGAGACATGAATGATTTGCAATACAAATTTCTGTGTTCATAATACTGCATTAGGGAAAGACGTGATTTAGCAATCAAAATTTCTCAGTATTCATACACGGGCTAGTGTTTTTTTTTTTTTTAAAAAATAGCGTTCCCCTGTCTATATTAGGAAGCATACATTCTACTTAGATATTTAGGCTTTTAAAAAAAAAAAAAAAAAAAATGGATTTTCTTAACAATGGATTGGGTGAAGATAATTTTATTATCCAATTTATTGTATGAGCATTCTAAAATCCTTTAATAAATCAGCCTCAATGTATCAGTTTGCAAAGCACAAAAAAGTGCTACTTTATATGGGTTATTGAGCATAATTTCAGACCAAGCCAAATGGAAGTGTTTAACACAATTTTTAATACAAAACTGAAAATTTGAGGGTCTGTGTCGATGGATAAAACCTACTTGAAGCAGTTCACATGGACCGGTTAATGAATTCTAAATGATCTCTGAAGTGTTCCACATTGATGCCATTGACACAAGCCCAAATCTGGTCAATACAAGCCTAATTATGGCTACATGATGTTCATACAAACCATTAAATTCATCTGGTCTGATCCAAAAGCAGGCATCCTTTAACACTCTTTGTAATTTGTATTTACTGCCATCCATATAGGGAGAAGGTAACGGACATTGATGCACAGTTAACATTCTGAATGAGAATAGTTTTACACATGTTATTATGCGTGTTACCTAACTTACATTTTTGGCTTTGAAGATAGGTTCCTCTGCTCTTTGTAAATCCCAGATTTTTAGGTCATGCTCTTTTCCTCCAGTCCCGACTTTGTTTCGCTGAACATCACACTGCCGCATCTTTGCTACTCCAGGACCAACCTGCACCTCAAGCTGATACAAATACATTTTCTCTTTAAATATATTACGTTTTACCATTCACGGACAATAAGAGAGCACTTACAATCAATAAAAAACATCAACTTCTGCTGTAGAATGCATGTTGAGGCAGCACTGTGGCCAGATGCAACACAGTGTGCAAAATTATGAGGCAAGTCAGTATTTTGACATTATTTCTATACACATTTTACAGCTCTAAACAGATATGGAATGTTTATTGAAGAAGGGTGTGGCTTAAAGTGTTTCACACTTTGAGGCTGACATGATTATTAGGCAGCTTCATTAGCTTGGGTAAAATGTACCAAACAAAAAAAAACCAAATACAAAAAAAACACCACAACAAACACAGGATTTAACTGACACTGAAGAGTCAAAAATTATAAAATGCCTTTTCAGATAGATGCAATATTTGCAAATGTTAAAACAGTTGAAGTGTGACTGCTAGATGAACTAAAATAACAAGCACAATTTAATGCAAATAATTACTCTTAACAAATTACTACTTCTATTTTAATAAAGCTTGGTTAAAGCGGAGTTCCACTCACACTGTAAAAAACTTAAGTCAGCAGCTACAAATACTGTAGCTGCTGACTTTTAAAAAACAGCCACTCATCTTCCCCATGATCCCCCCACTGCAGCCAGTTTTTACCGGCCGTCCTGTATTCCAGGCGCCGGCAACTTTAGTGTGGGCACCCAGCTGTGACAGCTTGCAGCTTCACAGCCGGGTGCCCACTTCGCATGGGCAGGCAGTGCTGCGCTTCCTGAATGGCCCTGTCGTCTTCTGGGACCTGTCACGTGTCCCACAAGACTATGGGAAGGGAGGGTAGGACAACTTCCTTTTCCGATTGCCTAGGCGATCGCAGCGAAAGTGGGAGTGGGTACCTGTCAATTTCGGGTACCCGCTCCTCAAAGGTGCCAATTCTAATGGGGAGCGGAGGACCAATCTTTAAAGCGAAACTTCCCCTTTTGGGTGGAACTCCGATTTAAGTACATGAACATTTCTGCACATTACCTCCCTGAATAAGAATGGTACAGAAAGGGGCAATGGTATGAGTGAATCAAGCTCTAGTAGCATGCATAGTGCTACCAGTGGGAACTTTCTGACAGAACAGGGAACAGAGTAATGACCTCATCAGTGTATCGATTCTTCTTCACAGCCTATTCAGCAGGTTGAAGATGGACTGTGTATCAAGTTATTTTGCCTAACTGCAGTACCGAAACAGACAAAAGAAAGTTTAGTTTTAATAACAAAATTCATACAGAGTAAAATTATTAAAGATGAATGCCAGGCAATGATAAAAGACAAAGATAATAAAGCGGAGTTCCACTCAAAAGTATAAGCTCTGCTTAATTTGCCTACTCCCCCCCTCCACTGCCATATCTGGCACCTTTTAGGGGCTGCAGACAGCTGTTTTTGACAGATACCTGCTCCCACTTCCAGCTAAGTTCGCCGCAGCAAAGTGAGCCGGAAGTCCGACCCCCTCCTTCCATCTGCAGTCTCCTGGGAACCTTCACAGGTGCCAGAAGACTGCCAGACCAAAGAGAATGTGCAGCGTGACTCGCTGTGAAGCTGCAAGCTGTCACAGCCCGGTGCCCACAGTTGTGATGCAGCTGCCAGAGAGAAGACGCAGAGAAGGGATGGAGCAGGTGAGCACATCGCTGGACCCTGGTGCAGGTGAGTGTGTGTTTATTAAAAGTCAGCAGCTACAGTTTTTGTAGCTGCTGACTTTTAATAAAATACAAAAATGACAAACGCCACTTTAAGGCATGGGACATGGGAGTAAAGGGAGAAGCAGCACATGGAGCCAGTCAGTTGTGCTGCAGTGCTCATGTGTTAACAAGGCGCATGCTGATAAGAGTCACAGGGATATTAGCTTATCAGTCTCTCACTTAACAGTGAAAAGCTGGGGGAGAGACAAGACCTTCAAGAAAAATACTGGGTCTCCTGTCATGCCAAGCAAGGTTGTGCTGTGTGGCAGACCTGGGTAAATTTCTGGGCTAGATGTACTCAAAATAACAAATCCTTTAGCATTAAAACAGCTCTCTTATGTGTAGTTCATCTGTGTATTTAGCTATTTTCCTGGAGCTCAGTTTTAAACTTTTTTAACCCAATATAACAGCAAGTCCTACTCACATTTTCAGATCCTTCTTTCCATACTTTCATAAGTCCAGAGTCTACACAAGTAATGATGCCACTGCAATGGAAAAGATAAGTAAATCATGTTTTACTTTGCAAAACCTGTCTTTAAAGTGTTACTAAATCCAGGACCCTGCATTCACTAAATATGGTCTCCCACAGTACATACAACATTGAAATGTGATTATTGTAGTAAATATAAAACTGCTAAATACCTTTTCTCATCAGTTAGAAAAGTCTTGTGACTTCAGCAGAGCACTGGTTAAAACTTATAGGAGTTTTCTTTCTGCTCTAGGAGGATGCAAAACCCGTCCTCTGTCTGGACAACGTTGACTGGCCCTGTGCCGATCACATATACACTCTCCCAAGAGGAAAAAAAAACACACACACTTCTCTAGCAATACACACTAAACTGAGCATGTGACTACGAGTTCAGTCTGTCTCATCAGGTGGACATTTGAAAAAGAGGAGGGGCAGAGAAAACAGGACCAAATGGCCTTTTTACACAATGCAGAGGATTAACCCCTTAGGTTCCACAGTGAGTGTAACAAGCATGCTTTACTGTATACACAGACTGATTTTACGGTTATGGGTTTAGTAACACTTTAAAATATGATGCATAAGAAACAGCATGTCCCAAAGCATAAGAGCAATTTAAGATAAACTGCTCTTATCCTCTTTTGCCCATTTTCCCCTACGTAACCTAACCCAACTTTTCATTCCACAGATGCATGCATACCTGGATACGATAGTCACAGTGTCTGACAACAAAGTAAGTTTCCCTGTCCTGGCTGCACTGGCGCATTATAGCCCCACTGCTATGAGGCCAGAGACAAATAGAGAGGGCCCCATAGAAGTTTATAAGGCTGTAATACACTCGCACCATCAGGATAGAGAGAGATACGGCACTGGATGTAAACACTGGAGGCCGCAGCTACTGGATCAAGGTATATGTATCTGTGAAACAGGAAAGGTTGGTTGACATCTTTGGCACAAGTGAAAGAAGGAATAAGTATTAAGTGCAGGAATATCTAAATTTTAATTACCTCCTATACGTGCAAAGCCCATTAGCCCCAGTTCACACCGTTGCGACTTATGCAATTTGATTGACAGTTCCAAATCGCATGACAAGTCACACCCTATTGTCAGCAATGGAACCGTTCAAAATTTGACTTCATCTGAGTCGTGCCAATTTTGAAAATAGTTCCTGCACTATTTTCTGCGATTTCAGGTGTGACTTGCATAGACATCTGTGCATGAAGTCACATAAATGTCAGGCAAGTCGCACCTGAAATTGTACTGATCTGCGGTTTTTGAAATCGCGCTACTTTAAGTGACGTATCGCAATTTCAAAGTCACATTCTGTGTGAACCAGGGCTTAGTCCTCAAAGCAACCTTTCAAGATTGAGGTTATCAATTATAGCCAAAGCTCCCCTATAGGAGACTGATGGATTTCCACATCACAATAGCAGGACCAACCTGCTATTATGTAACACACATACACTTGTTCCCTCAGATATAAAGATAAATAAGGTAGTTCCTCTGTTACATTGAAGACTTACTTGTCCACGACACCAAGCCCTCTGAAAACTCCCTCTCCTCCTCTACATTCATGAAATTCTGTAAATTTTGATTTTTCACAGTTGAAAACTTTCACTACTCCATCCTGGCTGCCCAGTAAGACCTAAGGGGAAAAAAAAAGGGAATTTAAAATGGACATCAGGCAAGGTCATGTGCATTTCTTTTAGGGCTTGTTCACACCATGTTCACTGTCCTGCATATTTGTGCACTGGATAAATGTAGGACACTGGAGGGGCACAGAGTACAATGGCTTTATCACACTGCAAAACAAAATAATGCATATAAATTCATCACACACAAAAATGTATGCAAAACCAAATTACTGCACATGCATTTTCAGTGCATTTTTATGTGCAATATGGTGTGAAAGGATCCTTGGTTGGCTTTATTTTCAAGAGCACAAAAATGTTAGTTACCCTAATGCCTCCCTATGATTCCAGGTCTAGGTTTCAACTTTCAGCCACATGATAAATTAAAAAAGGGATCCAACTGGTTGTTATGGGTGTGGTAGGGATTGGGCTGTGGATCTTGTAACAGTTGGCTTTAGTTAATGGGCAGAACAGGTACTCTTCTCACCTCAGATTCCTGTGGGTCTCCAAAGCACAGGACATTCACTTCCTGTCCCCTGTCCAGAGAGGAAACTTCTGTGTAGTTGATGGCTTGTTTCTTCACCAGATCTATGCCTGCAATGTCAAACTGGATTTACTGAATGCAATGATTTCAAAGAAAAAAAATACACTACAAGGTTGGCCATACATTATACAGTTTTCTTGAGAATTTTGCTTTAGATTTACCAAAAAAACATATAATATGAGGTCAAACCTAAACAACACTTTCAACTGTATCCAGTTAGGCAGGCCCTTGCACTACATAGGTAAATCTAAAGGAAATTGGACAGCAAATTGTATAGTGTATGGCCAGCCTTAGGAATTAGATATAGGTAATGCATATAAACTTCTAAACTATATCACTTTTCTAACCCAATCATATGCAAGCCAAAATCCTAAGATCCTGCTTATTTAAATTCCTAACCCATGAGTAAGGGAAATTTAAATAAAAACACAACTGCACCTTGTTTATTAAAGTAGAACTTAACTGAAACACTGCAAGCAGGCAGGCTCTTTTTTAGTAACTGTATCAGTTGTAATTCAAGGTATGACCTGCATGTAGATGTTTTGAGAAAATCAGTGAGTTTATTTCTGCTTTAAGTCAAAACTTTAAGCTTTTACTTTTGGATAAAGTGTAAAGTAGAATTCCAGGAGAAACCCAACTAATCTTAAAAATGCTCCGTCTTCCCTCCTAACACCTATGCTGACTAACTTGTGTAAGAACGATCTGTATATTTGCCAATTTCAGACTGGAACAGTCTGGTCATGTGATCCAGCTTCCCTGTGTCAGCCTGCAGGGGACAGGAGGGTCAGTGGACAATGGATGTGCCATAGAAAACATATGGGTAAAGTCATTGCTCCCAGGCATTCCCCGGTTCTCCTGTTCCCCCGATAGTGCTGATAGGAGGCAAAACGTGTTGGGTGGGGATTGACTTATGACGTCATCGCATTCATCGAGGGGTTGGTGGTGCAGCGTTTAAAGATTTTGTTTCCAGTTGCAGCCACCCCCTTTGCCACTTTCCGGTGGTTCTCAGGCTTACTTGGATGTTTGGTAAGCCCTGGAACCAAACTGGCTCTGGCAGCGGCTGCCACAGAGATGAGCAGAGAAAAGATGGCCTCCGCACATCTCTTTGACCTAGGAGGACTGGAACAATGTCATGGTGCCACTTCTGGTTCATGGCTGATGTCAACAAGGCCTTTTTTTTTTTTTTTTTTTTTTAAAAGCATGAGATCAAAAAAATTTTTTAATCTAATGCTTTCCATTGTAGAGAGATGTGGTGGTCTTCTTGATCCCAGATCTCTCCATATAGAGGACCTACCACTGCTTATTTCTATCACAAGAGATATTTACATTCCTTGTGATAGGAGTAAAAGTAATCCAAAAAAATGTAAAAGGGGTAGTGTAAAAAAAAATAAAGAGATATTAAAAGCGCCCCCATCCCCCCACCGTGCCCATGCACAGTGGTATAGGCATATGTAGGTCACGTCCACATATATAAAATGGTGTTCACATCACACATGTGAAGTATCGCTGCAAACATCAGAGCAATATTTCTAGCTCTAAACTCTAAATTAGTAACCTGTAAAAAATTTTGAAAACACCACCTATGGAGATTTTTAAGTACCATACTTTGGTGCCATTCCACGAAAGTGCGCAAATTTAAAGCATTACACGTAAGGTATCTATTTACTCAGTGTAACATCTTTCATATTTTACAAAATAAACTGGGTTATATATTGTTTTTTTTTTTTTATTCATTATGTTTTTGTTTTTTTTTTTTTATTTAAATGCGTTTGAAAAACCTCTGCACAAACACCATGTGACATAAAAATATTGCAACAGCCATTTTATTCTCTAGGACCTCTGCAAAAAAAAAAAAAAAAAAAAAAACACACTATATAGCCAAAAGTATTGAAACACTCCTCTAAACCATTGGATTCAGGCATTCCAATCACCTCCATCGCCACAGGTGTATAAAATCAAGCACCTAGGCATGCAGACTGCTTCTACAAACATTTGTGAAAGAATGGGTCATTCTCAGAAGCTCAGTGAATTCAAGTGTGGTACCGTGATAGGTTGCCACCTTTGCAATAAGTCCATCCATGAAAGTTCCTTGCTACAAAATATTCCACGGTCAACTGTTTGGGAACCAAAGCAATTCAGCCATTAAGTGTAAAATGACAGAGCGCATGCTGAAGCACACAGTTCGCAGAAGTCACCAACTGTCTGCAGAGTTAAAAGCTAAAGACCTAAAGACTTGGTGTGGCCTTCAGATTAGCACAACAGTGCATAGAGAGCTTCATGGAATGGGTTTCCATGGCCGAGCAGCTGCATCCAAGCCTTACATCACCAAGTGCAATGCAAAGCGTCGGATGCAGTGGAGTAAAGCACGTGGCCACTGGACTATAGAGCAGTGGAGACGTGTTCTCTGGAGTGACCAATCACGCTTCTCTGTCTGGCAATCCGATGGACATGTCTGGGTTCGGTGGTTGCCGGGAGAACGTTACTTGCCTGACTGCATTGTGCCAAGTGTAAAGTTTGGTGGAGGGGGGGATTATGGTGTTGGGTTGTTTTTCAGGGGTTGGGCTTGGCCCCCTAGTTCCAGTGAAGGGAACTCTTAAGGTTTCAGCATACCAAGACAATTTCATACCCCCAACTTTGTGGGAACAGTTTGGGGATGGCCCCTTCCTGTTCCAACATGACTGCCCACCAGTGCACAAAGCAAGGTCCATAAAGACATGGATGAGCGAGTTTGCGGTGGAGGAACTTGACTGGCCTGACAGAGTCCTGACCTCAACCCAATAGAACACCTTTGGAATGAATTAGAGCAGAAACTGTGAGCCAGGCCTTCTCATCCAACATCAGTGCCTGACCTCACAAATGCACTTCTGGAAGAATGGTCAAACATTCCCATAGACACACTCCTAGACCTTGTGCACAGCCTTCCCAGAAGAGTTGAAGCTGCAAAGGGTGGGCCAACTCAATATTGAACCCTATGGACTAAGACTGGGGGGCCATTAAAGTTCATGTGCGTGTAAAGTAGGGGTGTCCAAACTACAACCCTCCAGGTGTTGAGGAACTGCAGGTCCCATGAGGCCTTGCAAGACTTTGACATCCACAGGCAAGACACGCAGAGGCATGATGGGACTTGTAGTACTTCTAGAGGGCCATAGTTTGGACACCCCTGGTGTAAAGGCAGGCACCCCAGTACTTTTGGCAATAGAAATATATATATTTGGGGGTTCTGAGTAATTGTCTAGCAGAAAGCCCTCTGACTTTTACATGTAGGAGAGAAGTGTTGTAATAGGCCTTGTCCTTCATTCCCAGCCCCTTGGGACAAGTGCAGGTAAGTCACCCAGCACTGACAATAGGAATCAGTAGGTAGCATTTTTCGCACACAACTGACACCCCTTCCTGTATTCTTGTTGCCATCAGAACACAAAGTATCAGATTAATGCAGACAAAGAGGATACACGTGTCCTGCTGACAGAGGGCTGTACGAAAACAAACACACAGGCCGGCCTTCAAATACGTCAGGACTAACCGTCCCTTCTACCTATATAAAGACTAAAAAAAGCATTTTAGAAGACTGATGAGGGCAGAACACTGGGACCCCTCCACTCACAGTACACTGCCCTTCCCAGGCAGCAGCCTCTCCGCTCGTCCCAGCAGCCCGGATTTTAACTTACAGCCAGGACCACTTACCTTTAAGAATACCGGTCTCAGTACCAACCCACACGTGGTTACGTGCAGGCGCCGCCATGTTTGCCCAGCAGCGGACCGACCGGGACCCGGTGACGTCACCGTCACATGACCGGCTGCTGTGCCCACGTGATCTGCTGTTGTGGATGAATCGAGTAGTAGAGTGTGTGGTAGTAGTTGCTCCATACATACACTGGGATTCACGATCCTTATCCTTCCCAACTTCCTCCTCTAGTCTCTGCCATCAGACTCTCACCCTTCCATTCACCTTTTACATGGTTGTTGCTGTGGTTGCCACTGAGCAAGGTGCAGGAGATAAGGGAATTTCAACCAGTTTCAAGGGCAACCTGCCACCAGCACAGAGATGGCAACCCAAGGAGAAGCTTTTCTGTCAGACGAAATAGCTGCGTGCTGTGCCAGTAAAGAGAGTGAGGGTACATGGAAGAGAACATGAGTATAAGAAGTCCCATTGTTGGTGTCATAGGAAGTAACACAATTCCTAGATCTGGAGGTTAAATATGTCCAATTACTGGTTCATAATGAGTAAAATCAGCCAATAGGCAGAGGCGTATCATGAAATCAGTGGGCCCCAGACAATGATACAGAAAAAATGCCATACGCAAGGCTACAAAAAGGGGGTGTGGTTTAAATAGCGCTTTCACAATTGGGCGTAGCTTAAAAGAAGTGTGGTTAAATAGTGTCTGAGATGACTTGCATAGTACAGAATATAGCGATCGTAAATAGAGAATGTACAGTGCGGAGTGTATGGCGGTGGGTAGTATGTGCAGGGAGAGGAGCGCGGAGTGTATGGCGGTGGGTGATATGTGCAGGGAGAGGAGCGCGGAGTGTATGGCGGTGGGTAGTATGTGCAGGGAGAGGAGCACCGAGTGTATGGCGGTGGGTAGTATGTGCAGGGAGAGGAGCGCGGAGTGTATGGCGGTGGGTGATATGTGCAGGGAGAGGAGCGCGGAGTGTATGGTGGTGGGTGATATGCGCAGGGAGAGGAGCGCGGAGTGTATGGCGGTAAGTGATATGCTCAGGGAGAGGAGTGCGGAGTGTATGGTGGTGGGGTAGTATGTGCAGGGAGAGGAGCGCGGAGTGTATGGCGGTGGGTGATATGCGCGCAGGGGGAGAGGAGTGCGGAGTGTATGGTGGTGGGTAGTATGTGCAGGGAGAGGAGCGCGGAGTGTATGGCGGTGGGTGATATGCACAGGGAGAGGAGGAGCGCGGAGTGTATGGAGAGGGGGTAGCATGTGCAGAGAGAGGAGCACGGATTGTATGGCGGTGGGGATATGCGCAGGGAGAGGAGCGCGGAGTGTATGGCGGTGGGTGATATGCTCAGGGAGAGGAGCGCGGAGTGTATAGCGGTGGGTGATATGCTCAGGGAGAGGAGCATGGATTGTATGGCGGTGGGTGATATGCTCAGGGAGAGGAGCGCGGAGTGTATGGCGGTGGGTGATATGCTCAGGGAGAGGGAGCGCGGAGTGTATGGCGGTAAGTGATATGCTCAGGGAGAGGAGTGTGCGGAGTGTATGGTGGTGGGTAGTATGTGCAGGGAGAGGAGCGCGGAGTGTATGGCGGTGGGTGATATGCTCAGGGAGAGGAGCGCGGAGTGTATAGCGGTGGATGATATGCTCAGGGAGAGCAGCATGGATTGTATGGCGGTGGGTGATATGCTCAGGGAGAGGAGCGCGGAGTGTATGGAGGTGGGTAGCATGTGCAGAGAGAGGAGCACGGATTGTATGGGCGGTGGGTGATATGCTCAGGGAGAGGATCGCGGATTGTATGGCGGTGGGTGGTATGCTCAGGGAGAGGAGCGTGGTGTGTATGGCGGTAGGTAGTATGCGTAGGGAGAGGAGCGCGGAGTGTATGGCGGTGGGTGGTATGCTCAGGGAGAGGAGCACGGAGTGTATGGCGGTGGGTGATATGCACAGGGAGAGGAGCGTGGAGTGTATGGAGGTGGGTAGCATGTGCAGAGAGAGGAGCACGGATTGTATGGCGGTGGGTGATATGCGCAGGGAGAGGAGCGCGGAGTGTATGGCGGTGGGTGATATGCTCAGGGAGAGGAGCGCGGAGTGTATAGCGGTGGGTGATATGCTCAGGGAGAGGAGCATGGATTGTATGGCGGTGGGTGATATGCTCAGGGAGAGGAGCGCGGAGTGTATGGCGGTGGGTGATATGCTCAGGGAGAGGAGCGCGGAGTGTATGGCGGTAAGTGATATGCTCAGGGAGAGGAGTGCGGAGTGTATGGTGGTGGGTAGTATGTGCAGGGAGAGGAGCGCGGAGTGTATGGCGGTGGGTGATATGCTCAGGGAGAGGAGCGCGGAGTGTATAGCGGTGGATGATATGCTCAGGGAGAGCAGCATGGATTGTATGGCGGTGGGTGATATGCTCAGGGAGAGGAGCGCGGAGTGTATGGAGGTGGGTAGCATGTGCAGAGAGAGGAGCACGGATTGTATGGCGGTGGGTGATATGCTCAGGGAGAGGATCGCGGATTGTATGGCGGTGGGTGGTATGCTCAGGGAGAGGAGCGTGGTGTGTATGGCGGTAGGTAGTATGCGTATGGAGAGGAGCGTGGAGTGTATGGCGGTGGGTGGTATGCGTAGGGAGAGGAGCACAGAGTGTATGGCAGTGGGTGGTATGCACAGGGAGAGGAGCGTGGAGTGTATGGTGGTGGGTAATATGTGCAGGAAGGTATCAGTAGGGCAGTGGATGGTGTCAGTAGTTCTTTATTTTTTGCAATTATATGATATGTTTTACAATTTAATGTTTTATTATTTTGATCATTTTTTCAAAATGCTTTTGGGTGGCCAGTGGATGGTGTCAGTAGAGAGTGGGTGCCAGAACTTTTTTATTTTTAACAATTTTTTACATTTTATTGTTGTATTATTTTTTTCCCAATGATTTTGTGGGGGCAGTGGACAGTGTCATTAGGGAGAGAACAAGGATGAAGGAAAGGGAGGGAGGGAGGGAGGAAGGAAGGAAGGAATGATGGATGGGGAGGAAGGAAGAAAAGGGAGGATGAGAGTGACTGGAAGGAAAGGAGGGGAGGGAGGGAATAGATGAAGGAAGAAAAGGGAGGGAGGGAATGGATGAAGGACGGAAGAGGAGGGGAGGGAGGAAAGAAGGGAGGGGATTGAGGAAGGAAGGAAGAAAAGGGAGGGAGGGAATGAATGGAGAAAGGAAGGGAGGGGAAGGAGGAAGGGGGAGGATGGAGGAAGTATAAAAGAAAAGGGAGGGAGGAAATGGATGAAGGAAGGAAGGAAAAGAATGGATGCAGGAAGGAAGGAAAGGAGGGGGAGGAGGAAAGAAGGAAGGAAGAAAAGGTAGGGCATGGATGGAGGAAGGGAGGAAGAAAAGGGGAGAGGGGGGAAAGAAGGAAGGGAGGGGATGGATGAAGGGAGGGAAGGAATGGATGGATGGAGGAAGGAAGAAATAGAAGGAAGGAAGGAAAGGAGGGGAGGGAGGAAGGAAGGAAGGAAAAGAATGGAGGGAGGGAGGAAGGAAAAGAGAAAGGACTCACATGGATGGTTCCCGGATTACTGGCACATTCAGAAGAATTACACTGCTGCCGGCTGCTCCTGCCCAAACTGCTTTTCAGAAGCTGCATGGACTGGAGTGTGGGCAGAGAAAAGAGGAGGTAGAGCAGATCTAGGCTCTCTCCTCTTCCATTATTGTTGAGTATGGGGGAGGAGCTGGGCACTGTGTCAGTGAAGATGAGGCATCAGAGACCTGGGGGGGGTTTAGGTCCTGAGGGGGCTTCCAGAAGGGAAATCCTATGCACAATCAGAGATGATCGGTGCAGTGGTGGGGATAGTTACAAGCACCAAACTCCCTGTATGGCTTTCAATGAAGCAGCTGGAAGCCAATTCCTCCTCTCCCTCCTGCGGCTTTCAGCTGCCATACAAGGAGATCTGTGCTGGTGATGGTGGTTGCAAAATAGTTGTTAATCGCTGGTGTCAGTGGGAACAAAATAGGTGCCAATCAGTGTCACGTGCAGTAAAATCAGACCCAATCATTGGTGTCTGTGGGATAAAATATGTCCCAATCATTGGTGTCAGTGGGATAAAACAAGTTCTAATCATTGGTGTCTGTGGGATAAACTAAGTCCCAATCATTGGTGTCAGTGGAATAAAATAAGTCTCGATCATTGGTGTCTGGAGGATAAAATAAGTCCCAATTACTGGTGTAAGTGGGATAAAATAAGACCAATCATTGGTGTTAATGAGATGAAATAAGTCCCAATCTTTGGTGTCAGAGAGATAAGATAAGCCCAATCATTGGTGTCAGTGGGATAAAATAATCCCCGATATTTAGTGCCAGTGGAAGCAAATTAGGTATACAAAAAAGTTCAGATTGTTGGTTTCAGTGAGATAATAAGCCCACATTTTTGGAATCAGTAGGAACAATATACTGTAAGTGTCAATTGTTGGTGTCAGCAGGAGCCAGATAGGTAACAATTGTTGGCATCAGCAAAATAAACCCCAGCCCAGCAATGGTTATAAGTGGATAACTTAACTGATCACATGCTGCAGCACTGCTCTGCCTCCTGCTGGGACTTTGCTGTGACTGTCGGGCAGGAGATCACTCTACCCGCTCAGTCCAACCTGACTGCATTGCTGGGTGCTAGAAACGCGGGAAATTCTGTCAGACTCATGGGAGACCACACTGAAATCTTAGGTAACTCCCAAGATTTACAGGTGACAAGACAGGTCTGTAAAATAATACTGTGACTGTAATGGGGACATTAGAGTGTAAGCTTCTCAAAGATGTACATTTACTGTATATAAATATAAAAGAAATATCACTATATGTGATTCCTTTTATGACTTGAGGGACTTTCTCTGATGGCTTTGTGTAATGTACTTATTATGGTAATATACTTTTTAGCTTCATATTTATTTATCCCAGATGCTGCAGTACAGCTAAATTTCCTACTTTCAATCTAGAGTGCTGACAGAATAAAAAAATTGTCATTATAGTTTAGCGCTACCCTCGTAGGAGCTGTTTGGTAGATTGGGTTCTCTGTTCTTTTGCCTCAACTCTGGGAACAACATTGGC